AAAGGTATCTGGACATGTGCAAATAATGCTGGATCCCAGGAAAACAAATGTCCTAAGTGACATACAGTACTTCTATAGCCTCAAATCTCTAGCATGAACACAGGGATTGATGGGAAGGTACAGATCTCCATTTATTCCCAGAGGAACATTTAAGTACTTTTCCAGTGCCTACTTCACAGCCTGGCTCTAAGAAATTTCCATTGTGAAGTACACACATCCCAGAACACATTGTGGAATGCCTGCAGCCTGGACACAGTGGTCATTGCTATGATCAAAACACTGTCAGACAAAAATAGCCTTTGAGAGGACACTGGTGCACTGAGGAGGAAACCCCAGTGCTCTGCTGGAATTTCACATCAATGCAGTGGGGCTGGAGAGATGGCTCAGCAGGTGAGAGCACTGACTGCTCTTTCAGAGGACCTGTGTTTGGTTCCCAGCATGCACATGGTGGCTCACAATCATCTGCAGGGGATATAGCACTTCTAAGGACAGACTGTCACTGTCATGTTTGGAGACAACATAATGAAGAGGTAACTAAGCAAAAAGATACTATGTCCATCTAAGATCCAGAGAGGTCTGGCATCTTGAGGCTTAGTCATGGATAAAGATCACCCTATAAGGAGTTTTAGACTTTTAATGACCTACCCTCCTTGTCCTTAGATCTCTCTCTATTAGAATACTCCATCAATCCCACTGAAATCTCCAACTGGCTACATACTTAACCAGCAAAAACAACTTGACCTGGATAAGCTAAAGAGAAGGCACCTTTATTTATTTTCCTACAATATGGTCTGGTTACAATATAGATTAGAGAAACTACCGCAGTGGCTGTTTCGTGGCAGCCTTGAACACATTGCAGTACAATTAGGCTTACTTTATGAGAGAAGTCAGATGGTCAGAGATGTCTTACATACAGGCAGGCCTTCATGGTCTCTTACTAAGGACCTTTGGTTTACAAAGGAGCCAAAGGAGCCTGGAAGGGACTCCACTACAGACCCTGACATTGTGACTAATCCACTCCGGAGAGGTCCATGTGTATCAGGGATAGTTACAGCCTTCTCCCCTTACCCTCCTTCCTCTTATGCTCTACCAACACAAAGGCAAAGAATGTCATCACACAGCATCTGAGGGCCATAACAGAGATTCTCTGCTTTGTGATAACCTGCCTACAGGATGTTTCTACCATTGTATTTTAAAGTGTCTTTTTATATAGAAAAAGCTACATAAAACTACACGGAATGTGGAGTTTGGGGTAACCTAAACATGTGTTCACAGGACATGCATGCATATCTCAGAGGATGGCACCAACCCACTAGTGAATGAAACCAGAACAATAAATTCTTTTCTGTAGGTATTTTAAGACAGAGCTTTCTGAGGGAGAAACTAGCCCACTATTGGACATTTGCATTTAACTTTGCACATAAGGTCATATCAGCTCATAAATTATATATGTATAATATCTGATGCAAATAAAATAAAATTTAAGGCAGACATGTAACTTTATTGATTTATTATTATTTTTTCAAAAAGATGTTTCCCCTCAGCACTTAGGGGTTAGATGAAAGTGGATCTCTGAGTTGAGGCTCACTTGGTCTGCATGATAGCAATGTTCCAGAATTACACAGAGACCCTGTTTCAAAACAACAGAAACATTAAAAAAGTTTATATTACGTATATGGGTGTTTGTCTGTATTTATGTGTGCCACATATAAGCCTGTTGCTGGAATTACAGATGGTCATGAGCTACCATGTGGGTGCTGGGAACTAAATCCAGGTCCTTTTCAAGAACATCAAGTGTTCTTAAAGTGAGCTATTTCTCCAGTCCACTTTATAAAAGTTTTAAAGGTAGGCTGTCAGAACATGGTCCAGGAATAGAGCTGTGTGAAGAGAATTCTGAGTGCTTGTGAGAACACTCCAAGAAAACAGAACAAGAGTCTTGTGACTTAAGTTTCTTCAAAACATGGGATTGTTCAGGGAATGTGTTTTCCTGCCTTCCCAGGTGTAGCAGACAGGAGTGGGCTTGCTTCAGAGTACCCATTGCCACTTACTATTGTTATTCAGAATGCTTACAGCTTGAATCATGTGCTCTTTACTCATATGACCTCCCCCCCCCCGTTTTTTGTTTGTTTATTTATTTATTCATTTTACATGCCAACCACAGATCCCCTCTCATCCCTCCTCCTGCTCCCCCCTCACCTTCCCCACTTACCCCTTATCCCTTCCTCCAACAGGGTAAGTTCTCCCATGGGGGACAGCTAAGCCTGGTATGTTCAGTTGAGGCAGGGCCAAGCCCCTCCCTGCTTTATCAGGGGTGAGCAAGGTGTCCAGCAATAGCTAATGGGATCCAGAAAGCCGGCTCATGCACCAGGGGTAGATCCTGATCACACTGCCAGGAGCCCCTCAAACAGACCCAGCTACATAACTGTCTGCCATATGCACAGGGTCTAGTCCAGCATATGACCTTTCTTAATTCTCAAAGTATATATTGCCTGACATTCTAAATAAAGTTGGCTATTGCATGAGACTTTAGTCTGCCTCATTCATCGGCTCCATTCTCCCCGGTCCCACCACCTCTGGAGTGATGACAGTGGGCCATGGAGATGATTCAGTGAATGAAGGCACCTGCCACTAAGTCTCACTACTGTAGTTCCAACCCCAGAACCCACAAAGTGAAAGGTGAGATTTGACCACCAAAAGTGATTTGACTTCCACTTGTGTACTGTTGGATGTTTGTGTGTGCTTATGCACAACCACTGTGGTGGTTTGAGTAAGTATGGCCCCCATAGGCTTATATTTGAACTCTTCATCATCAGGGAGTGACACTACTTGAGAAGGATTAGGAGGTGTGGCCTTGTTGGAATAGGTGTGGCCTTGTTGGAGGAAGTGTGTCACTAGGGGTGGACACTGAGGTTTCAAAAGCCCAAGCCAGGCCCAGTGGCTCACTCTTCCTGCTGCCCGTGGGTCTGGTAGCACTCTCAGCTATTCTCCAGCACCATGCCTGCCTGCATGCTGCCATGCTTCCCACCATGATAATGGACTAAACCTCTGAAACTGGAAGTGAGCCCCAATTAAATGCTTGGTTTTATGAGTTGCCTTGGTCACGGTGTCTCTTCACATCAATAAAACAGTGACTAAAACAACCACTAAGTCAGCAAATAAAAAAATTAAAGTGACTTTAATTAAAAATGTTGGTGTACATTTATTGTGCATGGTGATAGGTTTCAGACATCTTAAATGTAAGCATATCATATAATTTGATCATATGCACCCTGCCATCTCATTTCTCCCTCCGCCACTCTTCTGCTTTGTTTCTGCAGTCTTGCTGCTACTCTCACATCATACATGTACATATAGGATTCTAAATTTAGGATCCATAGTGAGAAAATGTAGTATTTGTCTGAGTCTAACACTTCACTTATGATGATATACAGTTCTATCCATTTCCCTGAAAGAAATGACTTAATTTTGTCCTTTGTATTTGAAAAACTACACATTCTTTTTCATCCAGTCACCTGTTTGAAATCTAGGCTAATTCTGTAAGTTGTCTAGGTTGAATAACACTGCACTAAACAGACACATAAGTATCTTTGGACATATATCCAGTGGTGGTATGTCTGGGTGACAGGACTACTTAAAGTATTTTGAAGACTCTCCACACTGATTTCCACTGGCTGGACGAATTTGCATTCCCACAAATAGCATATAATGTCCCCGCCCTGAGCTTTCATCTTCATCAACATTTATCTGTTTTCTCAATGGCAGTCTAACTGGGGTGAGATGGAATGTCACAGCACTTCCCCAATGGCTTAAGGATGTTCGATATTCTTTTAATATTTACTGATCATTTGTATTTCTTCTCTTGAGTTTTTTTTTTTTTTTTTTTTTATTTTTTTTTTTTTTTTTTTTTTTTTTTTTTTTGAAACAGGGTCTCTTTTCATAACTCTGGCTGTCCTAGAACTCATTATATAGACCAGGCTGGCCTCAAACTCACAGTGATCCATCTGCTTCTGCCTCCCAAGTGCTGGGATTAAAGACCTGTGACACTGAGAACTGTCTATTTCATTTGCCCATTTATTGTTTAGCATTTGTGTATCTGGCTGTTCTTTTTGTTGTAGTTGCTGTTTTTCTGAGTCTCATTCAGGCATGTTGGCTTTGTACTTACTATGTAGCAGAGGAGGAGGACTTTGAGCTGTGTGTGTGTGTGTGTGTGTGTGTTTAGGGCAGGGATGCACGCATGTGCCAGGGTCCATGTATGGAGTTCAGAGAACAACTCTGTGGAATTGATTCTTCCTTCTACCTTTATGTGGATTCTGAAGGTTAAACTCAGGTCATCAGTCTTTTGTGCAAGTGCCTTTATTGTTGGGCCATCTCACTGGCTCTGTGTTCCTTATATGTTCTAGACATTAGTCCTGTCAGATGTAGAGTTAAAAAAGGCTTATTTCATGTGTAGGCTGTATCTTACCCCACAACTGTTTCTTTTGTTGTACAGTTCTTATCTAATTCAATCCTTTGGACAATTCTTAAGTTTTTATTTTCTGAGCAACCAGAGACATTTTCAGAATGTCTGTAACTATATCTTCAAGTGTTTTCTCATTTCATGTTTTACATTAAGGTATTGGATTCATTCTTAACTGGTTCTTTTTGGGGGGTACAGGGTGATATTATAGACCTAGTTTCATTCTGCTATATACATGTGGGTAGTTTGCCTGTACCATCTGTTAAAGAGGGTTGTATTTGCTCCAGTGTATTTTTAAAAAAGTCTTTATCAAAGGTTAGATGCCTGTAGCCATGTGAGTTATTTCTGGGTCCTCTATTCTATCCCATTGATCTACATGTCTGTTTTAAGTTAGCACCTTGCTGCACAGTTTTTCACACCTCTCTGTTCCACTTGTTGACCATTCTCCCTGTATATCTGGATAACAGCAGTGAGCAGTAACCATGGCACAACCTGAATATGATACTGTGTTGAAACTTACCCCACAAAACAAATTAATCCACCATTTAAAAATTTTAAATTACATTTATTTATGCAGTTATATGCAAGGAGGAAGGGTGCGAATGTACCATGTAAGGAGAGAAGTGCTGGGAGCTGGTCCCTTCTTCCACCATGTGAGTCCCAGGGATCAAATTCAGGCCATCAGACTTTGTAGCATGCATCTTTACCTGCTGAGCCATCTTACTAGACTGGCCCATTACATGTGAATCAAGATTCATGCAAGTTCTCATCACATGGACAGAATGAGGCTAGATACTTAGGGAGAATGTAACATGAATGACCTCCAGTCCAGTTCCTGGCAAAATCCTTATTCCCTTCTGAAACCTCATGAGCCAGGTCTCCACAGTCCATATTTCTCTCAGCAAATGCTCCACTAAGCTCTGCTTACGAGATTCTAAAACTTTCCTAGTCTGTAAGCCTTCTTCAATGTCTCTATCACAAGTAGTTCAGAGGATGTAATAGCCATATACTCAGATTTCTGGAAACAGTATTCCCACTCCTGTTACCAATTTTCTGTATTGGTTACCTTTTTCATTACTATGATAAAATACATGGCAAATCAACTTAAGGAAGTTTCCTTTGCCTCACAATTTGAGTGTACAGACCATATTACAAGGAAAGCATGGCAGCAGGAGTATGAGGTGGCTGGTCATAATATATCCAAGTCAGGAAGCCCAGTGATATAGATACCGGTATGCCAACTTTCCCCTTTTTTATTCAGTGTGGGACCTCAGCCTATAAAATAGTGCTGCTCACCTTCAGGGTGGATCTTCCAATCTCAGTTAAACATCTCTCTCAGTTAAAGACCCTCCTACATATACCCAGAAGTTTGTCTTCTACATCCCATCAAGTTAGCAAGCAAGACTAACCATTATAATCACAAACAGATCTCTAATGGTTTAACAGAATCTACAGTTGGAAATAATTTTTTAGCTTGAATTTAATTAATGTAGATGAGGTTGTAACATTTGTTTTTGTATAATCATTCCTTATGACTCCATATTAAAATTCACCAGTGGTCTAGCTTTCATAAGGATACAAAAAAGAAAAGAAAGGTGTTAGGTTTTGTAGCTATTGTACTGGTGGATGCAATAAGGGCTACAATATCATGCTTGAAACATATTTTTATGATACTTTACCCTGCCAATCAAGAGTATTGTCATGCGTTAACAGCATTTTAGTCAACAACCCACACAATATTATGGTAGCTCTTATAATGCTAACACAAAAAGTTCCTATCATTCAGTGATGTCATGACAATTACACAATAGTACAAAGTGTGGAATTCTCTGTACACACTTGAATCCTGATGTTCAGAAAGAGATGTAGGAAGACACTGGGGTCAACTTCAGGTTCTGTTTACATGGAAATGTGGCTGGCAGGAGCTACTTACAATCCACAAAAGGAAGGTGAATCTGCCTGTAGAATGACCTTCTTCCCTGCATTCTACAGGAATGGGAATAATTAAGCTGTCCAATGAGGTGCTTTGCTGAAAGAAAAGGGGTGGGGGTAAAAGGGGCTACTGGGTTAAAGCACATGGATATGTGTGAATTGTGGTATAGTTTGTGATAGACACATGCTATGAGCCTTACAAACTTCAATGGCTATGCAATATCATCTTCTGCACTATAACTTATATGGCAGCCATAGGGAGGATATCAGGGCAACTGAAGGCAGGACATGGTGAATTTGGGCCAGGAAGTCCAGAAGTGTAGATGTATAAGCTATTGAAACCCACATAACTAGCTAGCACTTACCACCCTGGGCCACCACTTGTCTAGAGCCCAATTTCACAGCTGTCCACTCATCCACTGGCTCCTGTCTATTTGTGGTATGGTTCTGGGACCTAGGCTCTTGTCTGAATGGTGTCTTGGGACCTGGGGCCCTCTTCAGATGAATGTCCACATGCCCACAGCTTCCCAAACTCTGGAGAGACAAAGGGAGCAGGGACAATCAGGTAATATGTGGGCTTTGTGCATAGGAGTGTCCACAAAATAGTTCTCATTCAAAGGGAATAAAATGCACTTTATTTCAAGTCAAATATTAGTGGCTGTGGCCTAGCAACATGGATTTAGGTGGAAGTGGTTACATGAACCTTTTTTGTTTTGTTTGTTTTGTTTTTTCGAGACAGGGTTTCTCTGTGTAGCTTTGCACCTTTCCTGGAACTCGCTCTGTAGACCAGGCTGGCCTCTAACTCACAGAGATCTGCCTGCCTCGGCCTCCCGAGTGCTGGGATTAAAGATATCCGCCACCACGCCCGGCACCATGAACCTTTATAGTCACAAAACAAAGTCGTAAATCAAGGCATTACTCAATAGAGTGATATAGCTATCAGGTTGTAAGTGACTGTATTAGTTACTTCTCTGCTGCTATGATAAAATACCATGACCAAAAGCAATGTAAGGAAGAGTTTATTTTGGCTTATGGTTTAAGAGAAGTAAGAGTCCATCATGATGGGAGAAGGCATGGCATGGTGGCAGGAGCAAGAAAGTGGTTGATCACATTTTCATCCATGCACAGGAAGCAGAGAGGGAGAGTAGGAACTGGGGCAAGGCTTTAAGTCCTCAAGGCCTGCCCAGTGATGTACTTCCTCTAGTAATGCTGTACTTCCTGGAGGTTCCATAACATCCCCAAACAGTACCACCGACTGTGGAACAAATGTTCAAATACATGAGCCTGTGGGGGGCATTCCTCATGTAAATCAACACAATGGGTTGAAGCAAAGTGGGCAAACTTCTGGCATCGGCTGCGAATGCCATCTGTAGTTAGCTTTGGGGTGGTGGGAGCCAGTGATCTGCTAAATTAACGCATTCTGAACATTTTACTGGTTACAAAAGGTATCTATTTTTGACACAGGAGGTAGTAATTACATGTCCCTAATATGATACTTCACTGAGCTATATAATTTTGATGTTTGACACATTTTTCATTTGTTCAAGGAAATGTTTATTACACAAAATATGATGGAGGAAAACATAAAGGAAGGATTGTATAAGGACACTATAAAACACAATGGGATCATGGGTATGTTAATTCTGGTGGCTATGGTATAGGTGCTATGAATGTAAGCATGTTAATAAACAAAAACATGCAATTCATGTCAATTATAAGCCAATAAACTTCAAGAAGATGTGTCAAATCCTGGTGTTAAAAATGAAGTGCATAGGCTGGGTGGTGGTGGCGCACGCCTTTAATCCCAGCACTCAGGAGGCAGAGGCAGGCAGATCTCTGTGAGTTCGAGGTCAGCCTGGGCTACAGAGTGAGTTCCAGGAAAGGCACAAAGCTACACAGAGAAACCCTGTCTTGAAAAACCAAAAAAAAAGTGCATAGTATTCATTAGACAAAAATCAATATTAGGTAAAACAACAAAGAGACCTAGTCTATGATCTCAATAACTGAGAAAATAAATATTTTGTTTAAAAAAAAAAGATGAAGCTGACAAAATGGCTTAACTAGTAGAGATAAAAGGCTTGACACCAGGGCTGATGACCTCAGTTCGATTCTCAAGACCTACATAATGGAAGGAGAGAACTGACTCCTGAATGCTGTCCTCTGGTCTCCATATAGTCTCTGTCTCAGGCTCACTCACTCACTCATACACACAAAATAAGTAAGTAAATGAAATTTTCAAAAACGGTTGCAGGGAGACTAAAAAAAATTCCAAAATAAAGAAAAAAAAAAAAGAGGTATTGAAAAGGAATGTATCACAAAGAATATCAGCAATTCCAGGTAACTTCAATAAGGAAAAATTATATGTTCATTTGTGTTATATATCTGAACTCATATCTCACATCATAGTGGAGACACCTTATGAGATGTGTTCTTAGTGATTCTGACATTCTGCAAACATTACCAAATAAATTTATACAAACCTCAGTTACATGTTACAGCTGCTATCATGTATGAATCTACTGTGAACATAACATCTTGATGTGTCACATGTCTATGTATTATAAAGCTATATAGCATTAACTTGGCAATGAGAAGAATAAATATAACTGTGGAAATGAAGACAGAGTCCTTAAAAAAATCCTTGCCTTTTAGATTCATAGATGACAGAGACTGGACTGAAAAACAATAGGAAAATACTCTCTTTCCAATGAAAACTACAGGAACACTGGGGCAACTGTATGGTTACAGATGTTTGCACACCCTTTCCTCATTTATAGAGGAACTCATCAATAGTAAGAAATCATTTATAACTATTTAGTTTATAAATCTAAAAGCATACTAAGACATTCAGAAGGTGTTATGGGAGATAGAGTGATTGCTCGTCAAATATACACAAAGCTATATTTTAAAATTCATAATTTAAACTGCACTGAAATAATTGTATTCATCAAATAAAACAAAGGGTTAAAAATGAAGTGGCACAGTGGGAGAAACCAATTGCCTCACACACATCTAATCACTTATTAATAAGGAAGGCAAAGATAGAGACCTAGGAAGAAAAGTAGGCAAGGTATTTGAAAAGCTGTTTTATATAGGAAGTATGTACATGTTCAATAATCATAAAAATACAGAGCACACTTAGAAATGAGAAAAAACATAAAACAAAATAACAAGATAGACAAATAGTATTGATGAACACATGAAACAATTGTACATAAACTCACAATGAAGTGTAAGTTGTTATTCCTTTGGAGAAAGCAGCTATGAAAGAGACAAAATATTTTCTGTTACAGGTATAAATGTATGTCATGATAACACTGGAGACACAGAAATAATAACACAAGAGCTGAAATCCTGGGAGTGGAGACAAGAGGAGACACAATCAGGAAGAGACAAATAATTATGTGGCCTAGGTGACAATCACACTCAAGGCCTTTTATGTGTAGTTAACAATGAAGCACAGACTAAGTTCTGCACAGATACTATATGCCTGTCATATTTCACGTGGACATAAAATTCATAAAGGAAATAGGCAGAACTTATGAGAAAATAAAAATTCAGAGGCACATATAAATAAATAAATAAAACCAAGTTACATATACTGTTTGTGTTGAAAAATTTATAAACATAACCTTTTCTCCTAAATTAATTAATAATATTATCCTATCAGAATTTCAACATGGTTTATTTTTAATAGAAGGAAAAGAATCACAAAACCCTGGAACTTTTCTGGAAGGTTCAATATATGCATATAAAAATATATATGTTTGTGTACATGTGTGTATCCACAGTATATATGAAATTAACTTAGAATAAGAGCAGTAATTATGGGCTTTTATTATTTTTTGTATTTTTTTATTTCATCTCTGCATTATTTTTTTTCCTTTATTTTTCATACCAGTTACAGTTTCCCCTCCCTCCTCTCTTCATGTTCCCTCCTCCAACCTCCCTTCTACCTCCATTCAGATGGGGTAAGGTCTCCCTTGAGAATCCACGAAACATGGCATATCAAGTTGCTGCAGGACCAAGCTCCTCTTCCCTGCATCAAGGCTGAACAAGGCATCCCACCATAGGGAATAGGTTCCAAAGAGGCAGCTTATGCATCAGGGACAGGGCCCCACAAAAGACCAAGCTACACAACTGTCACCCAGATGCAGGGGGCCTAGATTGGTCAATTACGGGCTATTATTAAATAATACTAACACACATTATGTAACTCAAATACTGTAACAACAAACTCCAAGGCATCCCAATATAAGTAAGATCCACTGATAGATTTATATGAACATGAGGTCTGTATTAAGAGCAACATAAAAGCACATATCAATCCAGTCATATTTAAAAAAAAAAAAAAAACACTGTTAACTAGTAGGAAAAAAATAACAAAAGAGTAAAAACTCTGGCATCCAGAATGGGTGCTCAGCACTTTCTAAGCTCCCCACCCTCACCCCAGCTCACCCCATCTACAAGGTCCACCTCCTGGGATGAGTTTTAATACATACCAAGTGTCTTGGTTTTAATGTATTCCGCTTCAAGGAATTAATTCTAAGTCTCAGAACTCTCGAAGCAGAGGGGACTGGGCCTGTGCAAATGGCCATGAATCACAGGAAAAACTGACCTTTTAAGATGGACACACAAGCACATCATTGGCCCTCAACTCTCACCATTAATGAAGAGTTAAAAGTCACCTGTCACCACAGAAGAGGTTGTGAACACTCTTTCAGTGGTGACTCCCTGCATCCCAACAGGGACTGGCTACTCCAAACAGCAGACCTCCTGTAGCTTCAGTACAGAGTAAATAGTATCAAAACCATGCCAGACAACAAGTGTTCGAAAAGACATGGACATGGTAAAAGAGGAATCCTAGTACAATGAGAATATAAATGAGAATGAGAATATAAATTATTCTGTGTTTCATTTCAAAGAACTAAGCAGAACTACGATATAATCCAAACTTATAATATTGGTTATGCATTCAAAGGAATAACAAATTGCCAAAGAAATGGCATCATTCCCACGATTGCTGTAGCATTAGTCACACTCACAGACCAGACATGGAAACAACTGAAGTTCCTTTTAGATGACAGTATACCAGGCCATTCCTTCCAGTAGCAGGGCATCCAGGTGCTCCCCTGAGAGGCTGCACCCCCACACCTCAGAAAGCCTCCTAGAGGAGGAGAGGACCCAGTACCCTAGAATAAGAGCAGTAAGATTGGCTATCATTACATGACACTAACATGCAGCTTATAACTCGATTACTGTGATTAACAAAGTCCAAGGGTCCTATAAATATAAATATCATCCATCGATGGATATACATGGATGAAAGGATTGGACTGTTAAGATCAATAGAAAGACATATCAACACAACCATATGAAAATAGCATTACTATTAACAGAACACACACACACACACACACACACACACACACACACACACCCAGCAGCAAATAAAACAGTGGACCTCTTGGCAGCCTGATGGGACCTTGGCACTTCCTACACACTCTCCCATAGCTCGCCCCACGTTTCAGGTCTACTCAGTGTTGACTTGACAATCACAAGAACTTGGTGTCAGGCAGTTCTGAAACCTACCAACTGGAAAAGACATTAAGGGGGGATGAGGACTCTGACAGTTCCCAAATGGGAGGGAACATAAAGGCATTCTCAGAAGCTGGCCTGGCCTAGAGGGTTTTTTTGTTTTTTTTTTAAAGGACAAAAGGAACAGTCTTTGTGTAAAAAGGACTCAAGTGATTCTTCTCCTGAAATGTTCACAGACAAACATCCTTGGGACTAGAGACAAAATGTTCACAGACAAACATCCTTGGGACATCCTTGGGACTCAGCAGTTAAGAGCAGTTGCTGTTCTTCCAGAGGACCTGGGGCTTGGTTCCCAGCATCCACATTAGGCAGCTCACAACCGGCTGTAACTCCAGTTCAGGGATTCACACGCCCGCTTCTGGCACTGCCCACATTTGGTGCACACACATACACACACACATACACACACTTTAATTTAAAAAAAATGTTAAAGTCCATTTCTTTGGTACCTGGAAGAAAACAAAACATTTTTTTTTTAAAAAAAAAAAAATTGTGTTTGAGATGTATCATAAGGATATTATACTATGAGGAACAAACGGGAGGCTTTCAGTGAAGCCCCTCCGGGGGAGCATCTGTGGGAAACTCAGGGGCGCACAAACGGTGCAAGGGGAAGTTAAGAGTGTTTAGGAGTGTGGGCGGGGATGTGGAATTTTAAGAAGATAGAATCGGACTTCAGGGAGCTGGCCTAGGTTCTGGCTTTGAGCTCCTGCTTCCCACACACCTGTAAAGTCCAGGGACTAGGTGGGCCATGGAGAGGACGAGGGGGATTCTAGGGAACATACACAGCTCCTTCCGTGAACGAACGTCACATTGAGAGATCGCCTGATGATCCACCAAGTCCTCGCCACACCTGATCCGGAGCAAACGGGCAGGCGGCACAGAGCTACCCAGAGACGGCTGCAGTCGCTGACTCAGGAGGGACAGGACGCCGCGGGCTCGGGCAGCCCCACTGCCCAGGCAGGGGACGCAGCGCGCGGCCTCACCGCAGACCCCGCTCGGCCACGGCGCTCCCCGCTCGCGCACCGCCGCCTGCGGGCGCCACACGCACACTCACCATGTCCATTTCTTGGGGACGCCGGCGGCGTCTTCCTACCATTGCCCTGCATCCACCGCGTCACGGCGCTACCAGGACTGCGCAGGAGCCTCCCGGGTACCAGACTCTGAGCCCAAGATGGAGGGTCCCAGACAAAGGCCGGGCGACCCGCAGAGCCCGCCCCGGCCCTCCGTCTGTGTGTCTGATTGGACATGCCTCAGCCCACGGCTTCTGATTGGACAGGGCTTCAGGTCCTGCCCGCTGAGTGACAGTAGTCACTCCAGCGCCCACGTACAGCTGCTGGAGCCCAGGATGACAGGTTCTCAGATGCAGCTGTTGGGGACCCTGGCTCCTGTCAGGTCTCAGTGGTTGGACTACAGTCATCTCTGTGGGAGGCTTGCTCCTTGGTCCCCTCCGGCTATGGGGTAGGGACTTGGCCTGCTGCCATGAGACCTGTTGCAAATTTAGCAGATTTCAGCCTCTGCTAAGTTCCCTCAAGTCCTTACACTGTGCTTTTAGCCTGCCTGCTAGAGTCCTCTCTGGGCCACAGGTCACACTTGCATTTAATTATATATATTAAATATATATAAGTATATAAAGATATATAAGTATATAAGCAAGTCATATAAGATTATGAGTTAAATACGTGTATGTGTGTATTAGTCACAAATGGGAAGAAGATACCAGTTTTCAAAACCCTTCTAAAGTTTCCAAACTGTTCTCATTAACTTGGCCTTCAAAATGGGAAGAGATGTCTAATGTAAAGGTGTTTTCTTTTTTCTTTTTTGTATTCAGATTAAAAATGGAAAAGAAACAGGCAAAATCAATGTTGTTGGCACATGCCTGTATGTACTTTTAGAACCTGCAAGGTAAAGGCAGGGAAATCGCAATCTCAAGTACAGCTTGGTTACAAGATGAGTTTCATGCCATCTTGGAATGCAAATGCATATGTAGACCCTGTTTCAAAATAAACAAATATAACATGTGAAATTGATGGTAACGACACAAGGCACCTAAAATATCTTAATAATCTGATCAGTGTAATACTGGTGACTTTTTTTTTTTTTTTTTTTGGGTTTTTTGAGACAGGGTTTCTCTGTGTAGCTTTGCGCCTTTCCTGGATTTTGCTCTGTAGACCATGCTGGCCTTGAACTCACAAAGATCTGCCTGCTTCTGCCTCCCGAGTGCTGGGATTAAAGTCGTGTGCCACCACTGCCCGGCTAAAACTGGTGACATTTATGTACTATTGGGACAAACAAAACAAAACAAAACAAAACAAAACAAAACAAAACCTCACAACTTAGCAAATGTTTTAAGCCTTCAGCTTGTCTCAGTTTAGAAGAGTCACAACATCCTTTTGGGAGCTGTGACTTTCTCAGGAAGTAGGGCCTGGTATCCCAGAGGGGAGGGAATTCCTATCGATATTTCTCCTAAAATCCAAGGAAGGGAACTGTAGCAGCCTCAAAGAGAACAAAGAACTTCAAGCAGAAGTACCCAGAGGTAAACCACTGCTTTCCAACAGCTGGGGAGGACAGGTCTATTCTTCCAGAGATTGGACAGAAGCAGGCAGAGAGAGACTGTGGGGTCACAAGAGGAGGAAATGCTACCTCTTCACATCTATCTATCTACAGCCTTGGTCTGTAGAGTTCAACAAAAAGATTCCCTTTTAATTTTGCTATTTGGCCTTGGTTACTGTTGTGTGATATTTTGATTGCATTCTAACAATAAAGCTTGCTTTTGAGTTAGAGGGCGGAGCTAGCCACTAGCTGACCAAAATTAACCATAAAGCTTTGGGAGGACTGGAGGACTGAGGACAGGTAGGAGACAGGAAGTAGTAACGTGGGGGCTGAGAGAGGATCTCAGCCCTTTTGATTGGAGGGACGGAAGAGATGGGAGGTCACTGGTGGCTTTTCTGCTGCTTCTCTGATCATTCAGGTTTTTACCCTTATATCTGACTTTTTTTTTTTTTCAAGATAGGGTTTCTCTGTGTAGTTTGGTGCAGGTCTTGGCTCTTGCTCTGTAGACCAGGTTGGCCTTGAACTCACAGAGATTTGCCTGGCTCTGCCTCTCCAGTGCTGGGATTAAGGCGTGCGCCACCGCCTCTGCCGCCGCCGCCGCCGCCACCGCCACCACCACCTGGCTTGACTTCTAGTTTTTTATTGATAAAGAATAATTAGATAAACATAACAGGTTCTTAATGGTCAGCCTGTGGGTGTGGCTTCCTCCTGTGATGTGGGATATTGTGATTTTTTTATTTTATAATTAATTTAATTTTACATATCAGCCACGGATTCCCCTGTCCTCCCTCCTCCCACCTCCCAGCCTTCCTCCCAAATCTTCCTCCCATTCCCACCTCCTCCAAGGCAATGTCTCCCCTGGGGATTTAGCTTGGCCTGGTAGATTCAGTTGAGGCAGGTCCAGTCCCCTCTTCCCTACACCAAGGCTGAGCAATATGTCTCAGCATAGGCACTAGGTTCCAAAAAGCCAGCTCATGTACTAAGGACAGGTTCCAGTCCCACTGCCTGGGGGCCTCCCAAACAGTTCAAGCTAATCAACTGTCTCACTTATCCAGAGGGCCTGATCCAGTTCCCCCAGCTGAGGGGCTCCTCAGCTATTGGTTTGTAGTTCATATGTTTCCACTAGTTTGGCTATTTGTCCCTGGTCTCAATATCTCTTGCTCATATAATTACCCCACCCCCTGCTCTCTTGCTGATTGTACTCCTGGAGCTCCACCGGGGGCTTGGCCGTGGATCTCTGCATTTGCTTCCATCAGTCACTGGATGAGAGTTCTATCATGACAGTTAGGGTATTCGGCCATCAGATCACCAGAGTAGGTCAGCTTGGGCTTTCTCTCGACCACTGTCAGTAGTCTATTGTGGAGGTATCTTCGTGGATTTCTGGGCACCTCTCTAGCACTTTGCTTCTTCCTGTTCCCATGGGGTCTTCATCCTTGTTCTCCCACTCTGTTCCTAATGCAGCTGGTATCTCCTACTCCCCTAAGCTCTCTTTCCCCAAACCCTTTCCCTCCATTACCCCCTACCCCATGTCCAGGTTGCTCATGTAGATCTCATCCATTTCTCTGTTGGGTGATCCCTGTGTCTTTCTTAGGGTCCTCTTTACTAGTAGTCTCCCTGGAGTTGTGAGTAGCAGTCTAGTCATCCAGGTACTGGCTATTACAAATAATGCTGCTATGAACATAGTTGAGTATGTGTCCTTGTGGTATGATTGAGCATTCCTTGGGTATATGCCCAGGAGTGGTATAGCTGGGTCTTGAGGGAGATTGATTCCCAATTTTCTAAGAAAGTGCCATATTGATTTCCAAAGTGGTTATACAAGCTTGCATTCCCACCAGCA